TGAGACAATTAGCTAGTGCCAGCCAATGAGTCCTATGCAAATGTAGGGATAGGAATGCAATGTGTGCATTTGAAGGCATGGGGTTTTGTTCTTGGGGAAGGCAGATTGTAATTGCTTTCTTTGGGTACATTTTTTTTAAGTTTGGGGTGGGGGTGGGGAAGACAGGTTTATCTGGTCTCCCTCCATCCCCTCTAGTTTCAGAGCAGCTGGGGGTGGGGGCGGGGATGGGGGGGGGAGTGTCTGCAAGTCCTTTAAAAGCCTCTGCCTCGCCTAGCCCGTGCTCTTTTTAAGTTAGTGGTGGAACGTGGAGGAGCTGCCGCCTCCGAAGCAGTAAACCAGCACCTCTGTTTGTTTGCTTTGCCCTTAGTTCCACTGCTCCATTCCCACCCATCAAGGACTCTGAACCTGTCCACCCCCGGCGCATCAAGATCTTCCAGCTGGGGACCCCCGATCTGGGCCGACTTTGCACCTCCAAACAACCTTAGCATGATGTCTTATCTTAAGCAACCGCCTTACGCAGTCAATGGGCTGAGTCTGACCACTTCGGGTATGGACTTGCTGCACCCCTCTGTGGGCTACCCGGGTAAGTGAGCCCTGCTGCACTCCTGCACCCCCCTACCCCACGCCGTCCTCCGGGGAAGCAATCCTATTTCCCTGGAACACAGGTGTTGGCAGTCACACTGTCCCCACCCAGCTTCAGGCTAGGTCTCCACTAAATTTTCCTTCTGAGGAAGCAGCCCCCGGGCATTTACTGACTAAGCAGAGAACAGGGGTTGGGAGAAGTGAGTAGGTGGGTCTGCAACAGTTACAATCGCATCATTTGATTTTTAATTCGAGTAAATAAGGGATTGGCATCAGAGTGGGATGAAGAAGGTTACTGTCCTTGACATTTGTGCAAAAGACCCCTGCCCATATCTGGATGCCCCATTCCTCAGAAGTGTCCTTTTGGAGAAGCTGAGCTTTCTCTCCGTAAGTCTTTAGGACCCTCCGACTTTGCAGTTGTTCCCTCCAGGCCCAGGCCTTCCCTCTGACTTCCAGGGCCTGCTTTAATCCCAAGAGGTGTGACTTCCTCCAAATGCGAGTGCTTTCCTTTCCAATCAGATATGTTTAAAATCCTCCTAGAAGGAAAAGTTGAATCAACTATGTCCCCATTTTAAAGATGGAGGAACAAAGGCCCTTGGTGTGCTGAAAGCCCTGAGAGCAGGATTCAGACTTCCCCCATCGATTTGAACTGCCAGTCTGTCCTCGCAGATCCTTTGATTTCATGGCATAGTCTTTTTGTGTTGTGGTTTGGGAGTTGATTTTTGGAGAAAAAAAATTTTGGGGGGTGTCTTTTAAGAAATGTTTCATTTGTTAACTTTCTAAGTGATGCTCTGATTGGAGCAATCTGAACACCAGGAAGAGTGGAGAAAGAAGCAGCATGTGTCCTGGGTCCCCGGGGAGCAAGGCTGGGGAGGCGGTGGGAAGAGCATTGGTAGGCTCCCGGTGGAAGGGCTGTGTGGAGCTGGGGATTGCTGCGGGGTGGAGGGTAGGGGTGTCGGAGAACCCGCCGAAACGCCTTGACTGAGAAACTGCTCCCCCACCCTAAAGGGCCCTGGGCTTCTTGTCCCGCAGCCACCCCCCGCAAACAGCGCCGGGAGAGGACGACGTTCACTCGGGCACAGCTAGATGTGCTGGAAGCACTGTTTGCCAAGACCCGGTACCCAGACATCTTCATGCGAGAGGAGGTGGCACTGAAAATCAACTTGCCTGAGTCCAGGGTGCAGGTAGGGCAGATGCAGGCAGAGCCATCCTTTCTGACCATGCCACCGTTCCCCAGAATATGGTGCATGTCCAGGGCTATGGAGAGCCCCAGGTCTTTGAGAGGACTGAAGGAAGGCTTGAAACTCCTTCACTCACTAAGGCGCCAGGAAACTATTCTCCTGCCCTTTTTTGCCTCCCATCACCACTTAATCCTATAAGCAAGGGTCTTCAAGGCCTGGGTTGCTGGTGGAGGGAGACCCAGCCTAGAGCAGATTTCCAGAGGAGTCACATGGTATTGTATCCCTTCCCTTCCTCAGTATAGAAATCCTCCCCTATTCTCATGGACTTGTCTGAAAGCAGCTCAGCTCCTGGACAGTCCAAATATTTTTGCAGATGAAAAAATAGAGTAAATGACTTGTTCAAGGTCTTAACTAAGTTTGGTGGCAGAATCAGGGTTTAGACGCAGCTCGTGCTTTTACCAAATAAATCAACACAATAAGAATGTATTTTCCTTGACTTCTTAGGGATTGAACAGAATTTTCTAGGTCTGAGCCATTTAACAGATAAAATATCTACATAATGTCTCTAGTGACACCGCTCTTGCTTTAGTTCCACTAAACTTGACCTGAAACTGGAGAGGGAAGGTCAACTTCAGCTTGCCTGGTGAGTGAGCCCTGTACAGAGTTCTCTGCAAAGTATTTAGCATGTTAACCACACATACACCTGGGCCTCTCCTTTAGCTAGAATATGTTTCTGAAAATGACAGACATCAGTGTCAGCTGCTAATTGGGAAAGGGGCTTTTGCAAAGAAGGTTGGAGGAAGTTTTAGCACTTCTAAGTCTTGAACCAAAGTCCTCTCTGGGAGAAAATAAATGGCCCCGAATGGTTGGTGGTATTGAGCTTGGCCATGGTGGCATCGCTTTTACCACAGTGATGGCACCCATACAGAGAGCTCATTCAAAAGTTCAGCTAAGGACCTGTCCTCCAGAAAATGCCAGTAGTTTCTCTTCTCAGCCCCCTCATACACCAATCATAGCTTCTTCATTGCAGAACATGAACAGGGCTGGGAAAGAGAATTGTCAAGATTGCAGCAGAGGATTAAAGTGGTAAGCCAGTGAACATAGCACAGGAGACTGAGTCTATGTGCTGAGTGGCCCTACTCTAAAGGCACAGACTCAAGTCTTGGAGACTAGCAGGTCTGTACTCCAACTCAAAGCAGAGTATATATAAGTTCCTCCTTTTACCACAAAGCAGCTTTCAGCAAATAGTGACCTTCAAACCTCTTTCCTCAACAAGACTATGTCTTCCCCTTGGAGCTTTGTTTTGTGGGTCTTTCTAAGAGAGACAAAAAGAAGGGTGATGGAACCAACCAACTTCCATATTAGCAGTTGCTTCCCGAAAGATGAACTGTAAATGAATTTAGGCTGTTCCTGTTAGCATGTAACAGTAAAATTGCTTTCCCTCAATTCTTGTGTATTTCCCTCCAAAAGACATCGATACGTGTTATTCCTCTGTGAGAGTGTTCCAAGATATAGCTGGGTCTATGTGTATGTGTGTATTCGAGGTGAAATAAGATAGGAAAGTGAAGTGGAGAGTTTCTAGCCATATGATTTGGGGGATTATCTTAAATTTTATTATTCTGGGCTAGAAATAAGGCAGTGCCAAGTGTTTTTAGACAGTCTCCCCAACTTTCTTACAAGTCCAGGAGTTTGTATGACAGTGCCACATAATAGGTCTTCAGTGGCGGGGGAAATTGTGTGTGCAGCTGATCTGTCTGTGTAAGATAAATGTATAATCTGGGAGCCATTCTTGTCCTTAGGGAGTTACGAAAACTGTGTTAAAGACATTTCTTTCCCTTCCAAGGTATGGTTTAAGAATCGAAGAGCTAAGTGCCGCCAGCAACAACAACAACAACAGAATGGAGGTCAAAACAAAGTGAGACCTGCCAAAAAGAAAACCTCTCCAGCTCGGGAAGTGAGTTCAGAGAGTGGAACAAGTGGCCAATTCACTCCCCCCTCTAGCACCTCAGTCCCAACCATTGCCAGCAGCAGTGCTCCTGTGTCTATCTGGAGCCCAGCTTCCATCTCCCCACTGTCAGATCCCTTGTCCACCTCCTCTTCCTGCATGCAGAGGTCCTATCCCATGACCTATACTCAGGCTTCAGGTTATAGTCAAGGATATGCTGGCTCAACTTCCTATTTTGGGGGCATGGACTGTGGATCTTATTTGACCCCTATGCATCACCAGCTTCCTGGACCAGGGGCCACACTCAGTCCCATGGGTACCAATGCAGTCACCAGCCATCTCAATCAGTCCCCAGCTTCTCTTTCCACCCAGGGATATGGAGCTTCAAGCTTGGGTTTTAACTCAACCACCGATTGCTTGGATTATAAGGACCAAACTGCCTCCTGGAAGCTTAACTTCAATGCTGACTGCTTGGATTATAAAGATCAGACATCCTCGTGGAAATTCCAGGTTTTGTGAAGACCTGTAGAACCTCTTTGTGGGTGATTTTTAAATATACTGGGCTGGACATTCCAGTTTTAGCCAGGCATTGGTTAAAAGAGTTAGATGGGATGATGCTCAGACTCATCTGATCAAAGTTCCGAGAGGCATAGAAGGAAAAAATGAAGGGCCTTAGAGGGGCCTACCAACCAGCAACCTGAAACGGACAAACCAATCTACTTAAGATCCTGTCATAGTTTTAGATAATTGGTTTTCCTGATTTGCAAAGTAATCAAAAGCATTCTAGCCATGTGCAACCAAATACCACCAAAAATAAAATCAAACAAAACTAAGTTGTGAAGGAAGGGAGGGAAGATCATAGCCTTCTTAAGCAGAGGTGTTCCAATGTTTTAGCCAATCCTTGGTTGAATCTTAGGAATGAACAGTGTCTCCAGCTCATTCACGTTTCATGACCAACTGGTAGTTGGCACTGAAAAAACTTTTCAGGGCTGTGTGAATTGTGCGACTGATTGTCCTAGATGCACTACTTTATTTAAAAAATAATGTTCATAAGGAGTCAATATGTAGTTTAAGAGACAATCAGTGTGTGTCTTATAAATGGTACATCTGTGGTTTTTAATCTGTGCTAGACTTCAAAACTGTGATCTCCTGTTATTGTATGCAACCTTGAACTCCACCTCTGCAGGGGTTCTTCTGTGATTAAATAGGTTATAATTATAAGCAAAATTCAGAGCAACTCAGTACTGATTACCTTTGGCTGGAGGTGAGCTGCACTGAAACTTTACGACAAAATGTCTCTGGACAAGGAGAGTGAGAGAAGAGAAGCAAAAGGACACTAATTCATCTGTAATTTACTGTGGGTAAGCCTAGCAGTAAAGAGACATTGGTCAATTGCCCTGACCCTGATGGATTATTAAACTGAGATCATTGTCGTTTATGCTTGCAGATGTTAACTGGAAAAGTTATATATGCATAAACCTTTTCTTCCTGGATTTGGCAGATATGTATAATTATATTAAAATGGTTCTAGCACAACATTGGGTCCAGTTTAATTTTACACTACTATTTACAAATGAGAAGCCAACATTCAGCCTCTCCTTCCCACAACACATTTTTCTTAGGGCATAGAGGAAATTAGCAAACTTATTTTTACTTTTTTTTTTTTCTTGGCTAATCTATGGATAAACTAGATATGAATGACAGTGGTATGTAGACTGTTTGTGACTTTCATCAGGATTGCTCTGAAATTGAGTTTGAAGAGCCTAGCAATCAATAGGATCTTGGTCTTGCTTTTCCCTCCCTGCCGCAAACCTGAACAATTTCTTAGGCACTTTATTAGTATGTTTTAAAATAGATCAAATTTTTAAGAGGGAGGAGGAGAATTGGAGTATCTCTGAAAACATGAGAATGACAAGAATTTCTTGTTTCTATTCTCTTTATTTGGTTAAGGGGATTTTTTTTCTAACTTCCAAAAAATCTGAAGTAAACATGAGAGGGAGTGTAATCAGAATCTGAAAGCAATTCAGGCAGAAATGATTTCTGAACAAAAGAGTTTCAGAAAAGTTTTAAAACCTATAATTTCAGTAGTTGAACATAAGGCGCCCTGGTCAGTTTTCTGTATGTGTGTGTTTAAGAAAGTGCCGAAGGGGAAAAAGAGTGGGTCCCTTTTCAGTTGTACCTGCATTTTGTAAACCAGTCACCAGAAAAGACAAGTGGGCCAATGATCATGGTGCTCCTCAGGTAAAAGCAATATTTAATTTCATTTTAAGCTTCTTAAGCTCTTACATTTGACCAAAATTAAGTGACTCTTGATTGTAACGTTTTAAATGAAGGTTAGCAGTTGCAACCATTTTGTTTTCTGGCTATTTCATTTTTCCGGTCCCTGCTGCGCATGCTCCCTTGAACTCTCTGTACACTTTCCTAGGAAGTAAATTGGTTCACTGGCAAGAGAAATGCAACAGTTTGCAACCAACATTTGAGGCCAAATTTGATGGCAAGAGTTTCAGTACCTATTGATAACCTTCAACATAGTGTAGTTTTCACGAAGTTAAACTGGGACCTGAGTCATTGCTTACAGGTTTGCCCAGATTCAGGGTCTTAATCTCCCAGCTTTTCTTCTGCAACAGTAATGCAGAACCAAATTAACCATTTTCTACCATTGCCTTCAGTATGCAGGATGTCCCGCAAGGGGCGGGGAAAGATTGCCCTTTCTTTAAAAACAATAATGACGATGAACATTGGGCTACTCGGCAAACGACGCAGTTAGCAGTTTCTCTCCTGAAACTTAAAAAAATGGTCAGAAAGAAGAGGCACTGAGCAACCTCTGAAAATAATTTTTTCGTCACCTCTGCACAACTTCGCTTAACGAAGACCAAGCAGTTAAGTACCTTTGAATCGAAGGCGAAGTAAGAAATAAATTCCCCCTGACCGAAGGCAACGGAGGGAGGGAAGGAGGCGGGGAGCGAGCAGTGGCTTATAGACATCCAGAGAGTTCCGATCTCCACTCCTAGTCAAGACCGGTTTTAATGAAGTTAATAAGCCAAATAATGGTGATGCTTGCTACTGAAATGACGCCGTCCTCCAAAGGGGTCAGGGAGCTACTTCAGCTGCGTATCGGCAATTAAGACAGCGGCCATATAAGCTTCGTTTTGGAGGACAGGTCCTGATGAGGGTGGGGGTAGTTGCTTTACAAAGATCTCTTGCCCCAAACCTTTATCTTTCCCACAGAGATTCTTGGCCCTTTGTATTTCACCTTGGGAGTGTTTCTTTCCTTCCTAGATAAGAAGAGAAATTCAATCAACTCAATTGAGTTCCGGCTTTCGAAACCTCCAGGTTTTAGATAATGGTGGGTTTCCTCAACCCCTCTCCCACACGGTGCCCGCTAATCCCGTTTCCTGTGGATGTTCCCCCAGGCCCGCACGGCCGCCCGCACAGGCGCAAGACGCCGGGAGGCTGGGGCGGGACTGCCTGAAGGAACGTGGTGCCCCGCGGCCCGCGCCCTCGACTTCTGGCTAAAGGGCTGGCTTTTCTAACTCCTCAGTGCCCAGTCGGAGTTACCGGGGAACAGTACTCACACCCCTGCCTCGAGGCTGCCCAGCCCGGGCCGACGCGAGACTCCCCAGCCTGGCGCCGCCCACTGGGCCTCATTCACAGCCCGGCGGGCCTGGCCCGGGCGAGACTGAGGCTCTTGCCTCGCCGGGTGTGCCCGTTTCTCTCCGGGCTGGCTCTGTCCCTGGCCCGCACCCGGGACCTCTCCTGAGCCGCAGCACGTCTCCCCCACCCCCAGCCCCCCCGGGCCTTGTCCTCAGGCCTCGGCTGCGCCAGGGGCCGGGCATTGCGGGCCGCGGCAAGGCCCGAAGCTGGGTGGCTAGGCCTGTGCGCCCGCGGGAGTGCGCAGCCAGCAGGAGCCGAGCGCTGGCCCCGCCCGAGCCCCGCAGTCAGGCCTGCAGGTCTGCTGCGGGCCGGGGCGCCAGTCGCTGGGAAACCTCGCGGCCTGGCGGACTGCAGGGGTCAGGCAGGCTTCGAGGATTGGGGGTGGGGTGGCCCGGCCGAGAGGACAGCGCCCTGCACCCCAAGGAGTTAAAACCGAGACCGACGGAAGGGACGGCGAGGTGGGTCCACCGGCGGGGGAGAAGGGGCCGGGACGGCGAAAGCAAGCCCGGCTGGGCCCGCGGCGGTTAGCTTCCCAGTCTCCCGGGAGGATGAGCCGCAGACGCTGGGGAGGGGGCCGCTTCTCCCTGCCGCGAAGGGCGAGGCCGCCACCGCGGGGGCTCCAGCAGCGTATGCGGCCTCCCGCGTCCCGAGCTGACGGGGCCCAGCTGGGCCTGCCTTGGGACCCTGGGGATCCTCCCAGGAAAGCCGGGTACCTCGGCTGCTGGGTTTGGGGGAGTCTGGCCCTGCGCTGGGGGCTCCCCCGGCACTAAGCTGAGGCCTTGGGGGAAGCCCGTGCAATTCCCAGTTTCCTTTGGCTCATGCTCTCTCTCCTAGTCCTCTAGATCTTTTTTTTTTTTTTTTAAACTCAGTGCCTTCTTTCTTTTCGGACCCGTTGCAGTACTCAGCGGCCCTGAAGGCCATAGGCCAGCTTTGGAATGGGAAAGCGGTCCATTCGGCGTCCCGGGCAGGGCCAACTTGCCTGGCAGCCCATTCCGGTTACCTGCAGGACAGGGGCCGGCAGTCACGTTCTCGCGGCCACTTAACCGGAAGCGGCTAGCCCTGGCGCGCACACCACATGTTCGAATCTGCATCTCACACCCAGGGAGAACCTCGCTGTTGTTACCCGGGCAAAGCTGTAACCCAAAACCAGGCGTGCCAGTACTAGGTGGTGGTTTATTGCATACAGAAAGGTGTTTTAAATCATGCAAAAGAGGAACACAAAAGAGTTAGGCAGGAGACCAGCGCATCCCACGCAAATGGAAGCAGACATGGTTGAAAACAACCAGAATGGGAAGATACAGGATCAGAGTCAGCCATGACTTCCGCTTGGGTTTTTGGCTTCCTTCGAGACCTTTAAGATGACCAGCTATCTCTCTCCTTTTTGTTCCACGAAAGGGTCCAATCCCCCATCAGGCATCTGCGTGCCCAGATTTGTGACCAGGTGCCCTGATCACCTCTGATTTTCTCTTCTAAACCGCCTCAGCCTGTCAGCGCAGGGTGCTCTGATAAAACCTGATTCCCCTAGTCGCCCCATTTCCGCCCTTGGGTTAGTGTGACAGAAAAGACCGGCAGCCCCTGGGACTTTCACCTGGAATGGGGAGAGCAAAACCCCAAACAAAACCCATCCCCATGTTTTTTGGCATTAGGCTCTGAAACTGCACAGATTATAGGATTTGTCTCGGACAGAATTAACATTACATGTGAAACCGTGGTGCTCCGGTGTATTAAGACATGTTGTATAGGATTGCTTGGAGCATCTCTTTCAAACTGCCTGTTAATAGCAACACGAGACCTTCAATAATAATGTGTTTGGTGATGGGGGGTGGTGTTTGCTTTTTGTTTTTTTACCTGATGGAAACAAAATCTAGGCACTATTTGGAAAGGGTAGTTTTTCTGATGGAAGCAGTTGGAAGGACACGGAACCAAACGGGGAACTAGAGGAAGTTTCTGTATACTGAAGTGGCTGTGAAGGAGGGAGCAGACCTGCGTTTGAAAGGCCTTCTACTATGCAGCAGTCCTCAAAACCAAGGGAGAACTCCCTCCCCCATGCTATAGAGAAACAGCGAGACTTCCTCTCTTGCAAGCAGTGTATTTTATGTTTAAAAACCAACCTGCTGTCGACTGCAAACAAACAGTAAGCAAATTCAAATAAAGGATCCCTACCAAGTCCAACCCATTTGGTCAAAGATAACTGCAGGTGCCCGGGAAGCCAGGCTATCACTAGGGGGAGGGTCGCTTCAAATTTTGTTTTTCTCCTAGAGGGAAAGTCAAACAGCGTGAGGCCTATGATTCACTTTTATTCCTTAATCTCCCCACCCCTTTTAATTCTTAGTGGAAACACAGTATTTTGTGGGGGGGAGAAACAACAAAACAAATCCCACTGAAAATATAATGGTAACTGGGCAAAGTTTGGATTGACGTCTATTTCAGCACCACAAGGAAAAAAGGTATTCAAGAATCAGAATCCTTCTCTACTGCTCCTGTCTTAGTTTGCCTACTGCAGGTGTGCAAAGGGGGCCTTTCGATTAAGAATTTTAGTCTACTTGACATCACTAGTTGACATTTCCATCTGAAGGCTTCTTTAAAAATAAGCTGCCAGTTTCTAGTAGCCATACAATTGTCGATTGCTTTTTTTTGTTCCCCTGGACTCCCCATTAAAGGACCTGCAAATGCTGCCTTCAGGAGCCACAGGCCTGCTCCCTTCTTCCCAGGTTCCCCACATAAAAGCTGGAAAGTACACTTTAGAGTCAGGTCCTTGGTGGGGGGAGGACTCTCTCCCTTAGGTCTTGTCCCTAATCTCCCAAATGAAATCTCTTGAGGCCTTAGGCTACAAGGAAAGCAGAAAATCACTCATCATAGCCCTGAGTTGTTAAAATCGGTTCCTAGAACCAATAGTCACATTTTAGGATCATGGACCATTAATAAAAATCTCCTTAACATTCAAATGGCTCTAAAATGCGTTGATAGCGGATTACTGGGGCCTAATGGACGTCGCGTGTGATAACATGGTCTCTGAGTAGCGGAGGTTCTGAAGCGGGTGTCTGACCACAGCTACCTGATTATCAGCTTACAGCCAGCCTAGTTTTTAGCTGCGATACTCTTAAGAGGCGTTCTGTCCAGCAGATCCAGAGACTTCTGTGTTCTTCATTTAATAGGTGTAACAACTTCATAGTGTTCCGCAAAGGAGACAGAAAAACCTGCCTGTAAGCGTGGGGTGACTTCCGGGCGAAAGGTGGGCGGGTCGCTGGCCAATGCCCCTCTCCTCCCTGGCTTTAATGGAGCGATGCCCGAAAGGCCGTGGCTCCGGTAGATCGAGACCTTCGCCCGGGACGCCCGGGTTGTCTTAGGTTGGGGCCTTCTTCGCTGGGCCAGAGCCCCTTCCAGCCTTGGGCCGCCCTGGAGTGCAATCCCTGAAGTGGCTGCTCGGCTCCCGCTCCTTTAGAACCCGACACGTCCGGGAGAGCTTGCGGGGCTCTCCTGCCTGCGGTGGGGAAGACTTCGGGCTCCGGTGCGCAAATCGACAGCGCTAAGCACCTTCTGGCAGTGGCCAGGAGACAGAGCGAGTCCCGTGGTTTCCCCGGAAATTTTGACAAAGGGACAGTACTCCAGTTCTGCACCCCCACGTCTCACCCAACAAACTAAACCAATGTCCCTGAAAGCTAGGCCTTCCCAGGCTGCAGGGTACACACCTGCATCACCCCGGGGGCCTGCCCTCCCCGCGCTCGGGGCCCCCTGGTAAAGTCATTTGGAGATTCCGGAGAGACTGCCGGAGAAGGCAGGGAGTCACTCAGGAGGCTCAGGGGCAGCTTTCTGGCCAGCTGCGGGGGACATTGGGCCCACCACCCCCCAGCCCGCGCCTCCGACGGTCACTGCCCTCCGGATAGGGCCTGAAACCCGCGGCGCCGAGAGCCCTGCTCGCGGCCGCACGTGGCGGGCCCCCTGCGGAGCGGCGGCGAGTGGTTAGCGCTGGCCCGGCGGGTGCGAAGGCTGGAGCCCCAGGGCACAGTGCTGCCGCGCTGGGAGTCGGGCCGGCCCTCTTCCCGCTCCTCTGTGGTCTTTGCGGGGGTCAGAGTGTGGTGGGTGTGGGTGTAACCACACTGGGGAGCGATGTGGGCGCTCTTCCCGCCGCGCTCCCGGACGGCTGCCCCAGGCCGGGCGGGCTCCGAAGCCCAGGCTTCCTTTTGACGCAGGAACTGAGACGGGCTTGGCCTCAAGGCTCCCCGCCTGGAGTACCTGCCTCCCGGAACCGAGTGTGCCGTTGCCCGCAAGACTTGGCCGGCGCTGTCCCCGGGCCCTCGCGGAAGTGTGCCCACCCGGGCACCCAGGGCCTAGGAGGCCGGCTGGAGAGGGCTTCCGGTTCCAACTCCAGGCCTCACCAGCTGGCGCGTGGAGCGGTCGCATACCCAGTGCCAGGGCCCGTTTAGACGGCTGGTTTAACGAATTGGCCTAAAATGAATTTTGAGTTAGAGCTTTTGAACACTGCAGTTGAGCATGTAAAACTTACCTCGTACCCCCCACCCCACCCCCACAAGTCCTTCTTGGCCACTAATCCAAGTTAGTTTCATGACCTTTGAGTTATATTTGGTTCGAGATTTCCAACCAACCTTATTGCTGTTGCTTAATGCTAGAAAATGTTTTTTTTTTAATTTGGGAGGCAGATGTGTGGGCAAAAATCAAAAAGATCTATATAGACATAAAATACATGTAACATAGGGATTTAAACTTAAATCTAAGATGAAATTGGGCAATTTTGGAAAGAGGAATCACGTTAATATTTTTACATTTAAATTGATGCAAGTCTAATTGAAATGCACCTTTCCACTGTTCTTCTTGCTGGTTAAATTGATTCTATTTTTAATTCTAAACTGACCACTTGAAGCTTTAGAAAGCTAACAAGCTCACAATCTATTTGTTAATTACCTTTAACCAAAAGCATAGCATTCATTCACTCCAGCCCTCTGATTTTTGAGGTGGGGAGAAGTGGAAAACTTGAGAGAAACATGCATTCACCATCTTCATCTTCACCGATGATTTTAGCTGATTAAACCGCTACTCTTGATTCCTGCCCATTTAGGGTGGGGACATTATTTATCTCTTTTTATTCCTTCATGTGTATTAATCAGGATGTGGATTATGTGCCAATTTTTAATACAAAATGCTTGAGTTGCTATTGTTTTCAGAGATTCTTAAACTGTGGTTCAGATATCCTTTGAAGATAGTTGTCCATGAATAGGTTTTACAGGATGGGTGAATTCTTTGAATTGTATGGGAAAAAATGTTGTTTTCTCTGTTTCTCCAGTGTAGTCTTCCCATGCAAAAGATCCACAGTTTTCATCAAATTCACAAAGAGATTGGTAACAAACCAGAATTAAGGGCCATTGTCTTTATGACACTTATGTTGGGTGAACTTGGAGATAGATACTTTGTAGTTCTTGGTGACAGTTGGAAAAGAGCCAGGCCTGGTGGCTCATGCCTGTGATCTCAGCACTTTGGGAGGCTGAGGTGAGAGGATTGCTGGAGACCAGCCTGAGCAACATGGTAAAACTGGTCTCTACAAAACACTGGCTCAATGTGTTAACACAGCACTTGTAGTCCCACCTATTCAAGAGGCTAAGGCTGGAGGATGGCTTAAGCCCAGGAATCAGAGGCTGCAGTGAGCCAAGATGGTGCCACTGCATTCCAGTTTGAGCAATAGACACCCTGTCTCAAAAACAAAAACTGGGAAAGATGGGAGCCCCATACAATTTAAATCTACCCTAGAATTTTTGAGACTTTGATTTTGTTTAAAGTAATCCCCAAAGTGACTTTTATCTCTAACTTTTACCCTGTTAGACCTAATTTGAATTATTTTTAAAGAGGCTGTTTATGTATGACAAATTTAAATTTAATAGAACTAAAGAAGGATGATTTTGAACAATATCTACACATGAAATACAATGTAGAAAATTTAAACAAGTATTTTAATGATTCAGACTAAAAAGCCTCTTTAGTCAAAATAACAATAACAACAAAAGCAATTATCTGGCCCTAATTAAAAGCTTAAGAAAATTTATTGGCCGGGTACAATGGGCCATGACTGTAATCCAAGCACTTTGGGAGGCTGAGGCCAGCGGATCACGAGGTCAGGAGATCGAGACCATCCTGGCCAACATGGTGAAACCCCATCTCTACTAAAAATACAAAAACTTAGCTGGGTATGGCGGCATGTGCCTGTAGTCCCAGCTACTCAAGAGGCTGAGACAGGAGAATGGCTTGAACCCAGGAGACAGAGGTTGCAGTGAGCCGAGATTGCACCACTGCACTCCAGCCTAGCAATAGACTAGGCTCCATCTCAAAAAAAAAATAATAATAATAAATTTGTTCTATTGGTTCTCTTTCTCTGTACATACATAAATTTACCAACTATACCTAAGTGCCCAAATTTGTCTTTTGAAAATTTTCATTTTCTTTAAAGCTTGATGACTCTCAAAGGTGGATGGAGGCCAGGCATGGTGGCTCATGCCTGTAATCTCAGCACTTTGGGAGGCTGAGGCAGGTAGCATTTGAGTCGAGAAGTTCAAGACAAGCCTGGCCAACATGGCAAAATCTCATCTCTACTAAAGACACAAAAATTAGCCAGGTGTGGTGGTGTGTGCTTGTAATCCCAGCTACTCAGGAGGCTGAGGCGGGAGAATCGCTTGAACCCAGGAGGCGGAGGTTGCAGTGAGCCAAGATCATACCACTGCACTCCAGCCTGGGTGACAGAGCAAGACTCCATTTCAAAAAAAAAAAGGCATGGATGAACCAATAGGTAAAGGAGGTGAGAGCTCAGAGTCAGAA